ATAAAGACATCTTTGAGAATTAGATTCAAAATACGATACAAATTCTAACGATAGGCAGTTCCATCGATTAATGGGTAGGGAATATAAATATTTTTTTTTTAAAAAAAAATAAAAATAAAAAAACAATTTTATTATTTAGAGTAACTTCATGGGTTATCAGAGATTGCTTCACCGAAACCAAGGTAACGAACGATGCATGCAATGCTTCCGGAATCCCTTTTATCCTGGAATATACCACTAATGACTTTATCACGATTCAATTGTGTAGATTAGTTATCACAAGCGGAGCCTATGTGGAGACAAGAGGAAGGTTTGAAAGTGTAAAGTTATTTTTTTATTATTTGGAAGACTTTACAACGATCGGACTATATTCCTCTTGGTAATTAATTTTCCAGCATATATGTATATGCTAAATTTAAATTACGCATTTTCATAATAATAAATAATACAAATAATATAAATGATAAATACAAAATAAAACAATGAAATAATAGAAATTGGCTAAAACCCCGAAATGTTACATGTTTATCATAATCGCTATATATGCTATATATGCTATTCATGCTATCTACTATATTTGCTGCAGTACGATTTTAGACGCAGTTTTTGATCGTCGCATTTGATTGGTGGATTTTGCAAATATCCAATCATGCATTGTTTTTACTGTCACTTTACTATCATAAATGGAATGGAAGAATTGCTAGGAAAATGGGGGATCTGAGCATTTTTTATTAAAATTTTAATTTTTATTGCATTTTAATTTTTGATAATGTTTGATTAAAATAAATTAAAAATAAAAATTTTAATAAAAAATACTCAAAGTCCCACCCATTTCCTAGCAAACCTCCCAAATATCATTTTCTTCTTTTACAATATTTATTCTAACACCACGCATTTTTATAATGTCAAATCTCTTTTATAGTTTAAATAATAAACTCATTAATCCACGGACAATAATCATATACGGTCGTGTAATTATTGATGAAACTTAGCGATTCCTATGAAAAAATTATTATTGTTTGACCGTTTTTAAAATTCTTAAAATAGCCAGTGTAAGATTAGAACAAAAGATAATCTCATTTAATCGCTCACGGAAGTTCCCCATAAAAAAATTATCTAATTTGAAAAAATGGTCAGCAATCTCTAATTTAAGTAAAATCTTGCCTTATAAGGTTTACTTATGCATTTTTTTTTTACAATGTTTTGGTTACAAAAAAAACCTGTTTCGCAAATGTAGAATTTGAACATTTTTCTATTTTTTTGCATGGTTAAAATCTATCCAAAATTGTAAAGGATTAATTATGTAATTCTCTTTTTTGGACGGACCGTTTCTCTCTCATTATTCACGTGTATCTTTTTTTTTATTTCACAATTAATTTTTTTAAGCGTTAAGAAAAATTTTGATTTTCTTTATTATGTCATATAACAAAAAAAAATTTTAAAAATACAAATATTCTTAATTTAATAAATAAATATCTTAATGAATATAGAATAGTATAAATCGAAAAAGGTCAAATTTTACTTTAGAAGAATCACAAAAATTAGTAAATTTTATAACTAAATATTTCAATAATGACAATAATCATCCTTTTTATTAAAATAACGAAATAAGAAATGGGAAAAATTGAATACTAAAAGAATATTTTTAGTGGCAAGTAAGATAGAAATTGTGTTTTCCATCCCATTTATGCTTAAAGATATTCTGAAGAAATTTTTAGTTCTATCTCACTTTTTTTCAAAAGAATTTTCGATGCTTTTATAATTGTCCTTGAATCAAGGTGGAAAGAACATAATTTTATATGCATCTATTGAATTTTTTCATTTCATCTCATTTTAATAAATTTAATTATCACGATGATTTTACATTTACCATGAAGACTGTACTGATGGATTATGCTGGGTCATGTACCAGTTCCGATTTTACATTAGATTATCAATCCTTTTAGTTGGTAAATTGGTGTTTCCATATTATAAATAAATACAGTATATATATATAATTATTCTTTAAAAAATGAAATAGTTAAATAATATATTGTATTTTCAAATAATTATTAACCTTTCGTATATATATGCATCCACTTTTATGATTATTATTTTATCAATCCTTTCAAAAGTAGTGGAATAGGATACAATTCTCTAGATTTTTTTGCGACGAATATTTTCTTATTTTTTGCTTTGTTGCTCGGACCCCAATCTTTTGTTACTAATGTTACTAAAGTATAAACAAAGATTTTTTTTTTGAAAAGAATAGTATATTAAAGTTTCCAAATAAATTTTAAAATGTCCTATCCCCGGATCCCCGCAAATCGTTAATAAGCTTATCTAATGATTAGGTGTACTAGTTTATGCAGTTAATGCAGTGATAATGAAGACATTTGGCTGAACATAATTAAATAAACACGTGGCCTTCTTTCTAGAAATAATTGTTGATCCTGTTATGGCATCGACCTTTGTTCATTAAAGTTTGAATTTCTCTAAAACGCCGAATATAATTAAACTTTAATGAAAATTAAAGTTTATTGTTATAAATTCGGTACTTGCAAAATTTTTTTTCAGACCTTAAATAAAACGATAATCTTTTATTTTTACCTTCCATGATATTTGCATTGTTCCTGGTTTTTTTTTAACAATACGAAAAAAATATTTCTTTGTTTTTAAAAGTATTGAAGCCACAATTCATTATGATACGCGATATATAACAAATGAATAGAAAGGGGAAAATACAATGAAATCTAAAAAGACAATGATTGTCATTATTTGATTTTTGTGATTAGTCCGCTCCTTTCTTTTGAAATGAACACGTAATTCAATTTTTGGTTTCTACTGGTCATCATTTATAGATTCATATTGATTTTTTTTCTTTGTTAAAATTTAATATTATTGCGGGTTCATCCTTTGTTTATGGTCGTGATTAAGCATTTGCTGAAATTTTTTTTATATGGAATTATAAACAACCATCAATTGTTTAAGATGGATTTTTTTAAAAAGCTCAGTCATTATTAATTACTTAAGATTTGGTTTTATTAAAATATTTGTTGTAAAATTCAGATAATTTATGTGATTTATTATTAAAGAAGTTATTGAAATGATGATTTCTATGTGGTCAATTTTGATTGGCAATTATTTTGGTAACCTCAAATTCATTAACACGCGAAAATCATTTTGTTGTGTGGTAACTTTTTTAAAGTAACACAAAAACACCATTTATTTATATAATTTTAGTTTAGCAGATTATTTTTTTTTTTTTTACAAAAAAAAAAAAAAATCTCAAATGAACCCTTAAACATTATGACCCGCCTATTTTCTAAACTTACCCCAACTATCCAAGGTTTTGTAATTTTATGTGATATAGTCTCGAATGTAAATACAATTATGTACGCCTCATTAAAGTTGTCATGTTTGACAAGAAAAATTCGATTTACAGATCAAAGTATTTTTAATAATTTAGAACAATGGAAAGAAAATACTTTGAAAATAAAAATGATTTGAAGAAAAAAAAACATGTTTAATTAAGGCAATTTTACGATTACCATTATAACGCATCGTCATAAAATCCTTTTTATACAAATATTGTACAAATTACCGATTAGGAAGATTGATATATTTGTAGCTATGTTACCGCTTATAAATTTATTTTGTTCAACTAATTCCGACGCGAAAGCTTGGTAAATCTCTAGATAAAAAGCTGTCGCGTCAAAGGTATATATATATATTGCCGATCATGGGCAACGCTTTACAGCCAATCTCAAAATATACTAGACAACCGCCGTCAGCGACATCTATATCGAGATTTCGCGTCAAGGCGAAAAATAGGCTGTCCCATAAATAGCTGTAAAGAAATTATTTTTTCTTTTTTAAATAAAATAAAGGCCCCAGAAAAGTCATTCGAATGTAATTATTTTGAAGCTAATCTTAAGACCTTTCGATGCATTTTATACCTTACATTTAAATGAATAAAGTAATTTATTGAAAAAATTCATTTTTCTTCGCAATCTATATCTTCCCACTGGTAATCTTTTAGAACTTTACAGGTGTACCAAATAAAATATTTTTAATTAGCATCTTTGATAATTTATTTTATAAATAACCATTAAAATGTATCTACTCAGAACACAAATACTACATTTAATAACATACATTACATTATTTACTATCCGGATTTTGTACCCTAATCAGGCTTTCAATGAGTGATAATAGAAATCCAAAAAAAGACTAGTATTTGTTACAACAAAAATTGAATTCAAAAAAACCTCCCGTTATTTTTTTGTTAAAAACAAAAAAAAAATATTTTTATGATAAAATAAAATCAAAATAGTATAAAAAATAAAAAATAAATTAAAATATAAAATATAAAAATATAATATTTTATTATGTGTAAAGTTGGCGTGAATGTTTGTTTTAACCATTCCATTTATGTGGCATCTTATCGTGATAAATAAAAAAACGAACTGAAAAAAAAAGACAATGGTTGTATTCCTAGAAAACAATTTGTGTTCTGTGAACAAATAAAAAAAATTTTTTTTCAACCAATACAAAAAAACTGTTATCTATGTAATTTTTTTTTCTTTCTCACCAATTTCTTTTTACAGATAGATATATCCTTATAAAGAATACTTTCTTAAATTGAACTGGAAATAACGCGGTACAAATCATTTTTTTAATTTATATGTGAATATATTTTTTTTAATACAATTCATTAATAGATAAATAAAAAGAGCAATTTTTTTGTACTCACCACACCCTTGGCGTAAAACTATTTACAATCAATCAACTACTTTTTTCAGTTTATAATATTTTCTTATCTTTTAATATAAGACCACTAGATAAACAACAACGCGTTTTATACATTTTTGGACTAATAGATAAGTTCATTGTTAAAATCATTTATAAAATTACCTCATAGTGTGACTAATAACTATTTATCTTTTTTTTTTTTTTCCCAAATATATATAACAAGATAATTTATCTCCTTAAAGATTGGATTAAAATTTTCATTTAATATGTCTGATCATTACAGAAAACCTTCCAAAGAGGTTAGAAAAAAATTAGATGAATTTTTACGTAACATAGATCTAATTAAAGTAAGCCTACTCCCTGATGATAAACGCTTGGTCGCAGCTAAATCAAGGAATGGAATGAACGTTAGAGTAAAGTTAAATGGAAAGAAATTGTTAAGACGGAACGTAACATCCGAGATAGAGGGCAAGGATATTTACAAGTGCAATTATCTTATTCATCTAGCCGTTGAAGAAATTTGGCACATACATCTGTCAAATGCTCAAAAGGAAAAGTTTACAACTTTGGCGGATGAAGCAAACGAGATAAACAGAATATACAACTTGCGGCCTCACATCAATAATTCTAGTACTATTGACCGCATTTCTGTGATTAGTCGTCAAGATACCGATAATCCTGCACAAAAGGATTTCTATAACGGTTCCAACTTTAATGAAAGCTCTGTAACTGTTTCCTCCATCTTTAGTCCGGCTGGTACTTTTCCCGGATCTTCTTTTTCTCAATAGAGTCGTTTCCTTTTAGACAAAGTATTCTAAATAGAGAAGTCTATAGAGAGAGTTAAATTTTTTTTAAAAAAAAAGATTATAAATTATAATTATTATTATTATTATTATTATATTTGTTCATTTTAACAATTTAATTAATTACTTTTCAAGATGGGATAATTTTTATTTATTTGGAAAATTTGTGAATTTTTATGGTGTACCTTCCTTCCCCAAGAGTCAATATTTAAACCATTATGAATTTTATAAGAAATTTTTTTAAGTTAATATATAAGTAAAATATGAAAATAAAAAAATTATGGAAATAAGATCTAAATTCCTTATTATATATAATACATCTTTGTCGTTCATAAGAATTCATTTGAAAATCAAACATGATCATGCTAATCCTGGAAGAATATTAATCTTGAACCTATTTGGATTTGAATATACTATTTACACATAGTATGACCCAGTTAAGTATAAACATAATACTAAAAATTCACTAATGCTCATTGGTACGCACAAAAAAAATTGTACAAAAACATACGAGATTTAAATGGAAATGTTGAATGAATTATTTTTTTTAGTTAATCTTGTATGCACATTTCGTTCGTTGTTTTCTTGTTACTCTGTATAATGTGCAATTTATAATATGTTCAAATTTAGAAGAATACAGCTTTAAAAGATCATGATACGTAATGATGTTCTTATTGTAGTTCTTTAAAAAATTGATTTAAACCTTATAATGGAAATGTGTTAATCAAGGTGATACAACTGGGACAAATTTCAGCCGCCGTTTGACATATTTGAAATAATTAATGCTCTTGATATAAATAACAAGAAATTATAAATTCAAATCTCTTTTTTTTTTCTTCCTAATAAGCCGTAAAATGGATAAAAAAAAAAAAAAAATCTTTTTCCTTTAAATTATGCGTGTTACAACCAAAAATTTCATATTTCCTATGATTATCAACCAGTTTCAGCAAAAGATATTTAAAAATGACAGGACATTGATTGTGATTAAGTGCGTGCTTAAGAGGTAATTAATCAGTGACCTAATGAAATGAAAAAAATTATTTACTGAGAATATAAAATAAAATCTAATGTACAGTACATATTTATATTGATAATATTTATTATTTAATAAACATATATTGAATAGTTCCAAAGAATCCATTTACATATTTTACATTACATTTTTAGCATCCATTGAACATATAATAATATACAGTGATTAAAGTGTGACGATTTACTTTTCAATAGCATCGACATTGTTAACACAAAGTCCTACGTATCAAAATAAAATAAAATGAAAAGGTAAATCTGATATGGATCATGTAGAAATAAATTCAACATTTAAAGATACTATTTCTCCTTTTTTATAATTTTATATTAATCCTTACATCTTGTCTCAATAGCTGATACTCTTGAAGATAGAGAGGTGTGAAATTAGTTGATGTCAATCAATCAAATGCTATAGGTGAAACGAATCGCAGACTTGGGATCAATAATTGAAAAGTCAATGCACAACCCATAATAGAAAAAAAGAAAAGCTTGTTGCAGGAGCATGAAAAAAAATTATAATGTATTTAATTATTCATCGGTAATCTATATGATCTGATTTTTTAATTATTCTTTTCCCTATCAATCAATTGTAAAATTATTTACTTCATTTTTTTTTTAATTTCTTGAATAGTTTTTTTTTAATATAATGAAAAATTATAAATTATTATAATAAATCGTAATGAAGAGATAATATTTCAAAAAAAAAAAATAAAGATTGCTTAGGATTGAATTCAAAATTTACACATCAAAATGAACAAACATTTTTATTTGAATCTTAGACATATTCGATCATTAAATACTGAGAAAAGGCTTTCATCAGATCGATATCAGCCAATTATGACATTTACCGTTTTTAGTGAAACACTAACCATACACTAAGGGATCGATTCCTAAAAGAATCCGATCGTGTTTTCGTAATTGATCGACACAAAAAAAAAGATTTTGGTCCAATAAAAATATGTTTATATCGTTACTGAAAAATAGGTAACTTCAATTACTTGAAGGATTAAGGTATTAATTTATTTTAATTTTCTAATTAAGGAGATAATATTAATATCTAATCACGAGAAATAGTAAATCATTTTGGGAAAATTGCAAGGTTAGGAGTCGACGGTTTGAGTCGACTCCTCAAAAACAAAGTAGAATCGACTTCGGGATTTAAAATGATTGAACTGTGAGCCGCGAATTATTCAATCAAATATTTAGCCGAATGGGATTCTGAAAACTGGTGAAAACTAATAATTATCTACAACATTAATTAAATTTTAAAAAAATTTTGTTATATTAATAATACGATTATGGTTGCTAATTTCAAAGAGAGACGCATCTCAGTCGAGTGCTGAATTGACTGAAAAAGGTCTAACGACTGACTGAAGCCACTCCAGAATTTGACCCGGCTGGTACTACTAGTGACGGTTTGCTATTAAATCACATAACGGATCATAGGCGATTTTAAATAACATGTTTTTACTGCGTCCTTAAATATGTAAACAGTCCAATTTCAATTTATCGATCTCAAAAAGTCTAGCCCTGACGTGGAATAAATAATAATTAATTAATTAATTACTAGGCTTGAAGAAATTGTTGCCAACCTTCATGAAAACTTACAAAATTAGGCAGGTACCCCGGGTTTAGAAGAAACATTCCATTAAACATGATTGGTTAGTATTTTGGCACTTGTAAAAGAATAAAAACGAATAAAAGAAAATTAAAAAAATTTTCTAGAAAAAATATCCTGTATTCTGTATGATGTTGTACAATTTAAAATATAAAAGATTTATTTTTTATTTTACTAAAAACAAACGCGTTTTAATAATATTACGAAACAATAAACTATATAACCTATTCTCATGAATATTAATACAATAGAATTTCAACACCTTTGACAAATTTACATAAGCTTTTTTCTTTGATCAAATTACGCCTTGAAAGTAAAAAACGAAACCACGTCTTAATTTTATTATAAACACATCCAAATGTTATAAAATTCTAATACTTGAAACCCCCTATTTGCAATTGAGAATTAAATTTAACATGATCGATGATAAACAAATAATAATTAATGCAACTCATAATGATGAACCTATCAAATTAGAATATTCTCCTAATATCTTGAATTTTACTATATAATTACACTCAAAAATTACGCGTCATAAAATTACAAATGTAACTGTAGATAATATTCTATTAGGACTTTTATACAGCTTAAACATATATCACAACCATATCCCATTTATGAATTTTTAATACTTTAATCTTTAGATATTATCAAGATATCGTAATCAATATCAAAAAATCTTATTTATCAATAATAAAATATAGCTAAAAAAAAAAAAAATAAAAAAAAAATAAAAAAAGGAAACAAGAACCGAAGATACTATCTTAATTAACTTTTGTCCAAAGGGCGTACATTTATTATGATACACAGTTTACAATGGGTCCTATTGTTGCTTTAATAATGAACAGTCATTTGTTAGATAACTATAAAAACGGAACAACCAAATAATGTAAGTAAATCATGTAAATCAAAGGCAGTGTAAATTAGGTGAAACACATTTCGGACTTTGAGTTGATGAATTCCGTTTTTAAGCCAATCAATAATCAGATCGGAGTTTGGCCGATTTACAATGCAATGTCGCGTAAAATATGTTTTACAAACTTTTTTATTTGATAATTAAAATTGCACCTGATATTTTTTATGTATCGTCATTATATTTGATATTGATATGTCGTTTTTACAAATCAATAAACGAGGGACCAAATCAGTTACGCAAATTAATCATGTATAAATAAAAATTCTTAAGAGTAGTAATTACGCGTCTCATTCCTTAGTAATGGATTTTTGGGGATATGCACCAGATTGTGAAATTATTTACTATTATCTATCGAAAAACCACGATGTTTAAAATGGAAGTAAGATGAATCGTGTAATTAGGATATTACAAATTTTGATTGCGTTTGCCCCAAAATATATTTAATATTAGTAACTTTTGAATCACAGCGTTTCGGTCTTTACCGTCCATCATTTAATTAAGTATCGAGAGGATTATATCAATTTTATTCATACGCGCGTGCTTATTGTCATATCAACAAGAAGTTCATCTGGATAAAATGATTTATTTATGTGTTTTATACTACTTCTATTTCTTATTTATAAAGGAAGATAAAGATTCTATAAAAAAATTATAATTTTTTGTGATAAATTCAATTCTTATTCTCTTTACAAATGACATCCAAAAATTCTACGCCAAAATCGTCTTATAAGACTTGCTCAGATTCTAAAGGTACAAACAATCTTCTAGAGAAGACTGTACCAGTTGAAGAGTCTGGAGAATGGAGAAAATCCTTAAATTCCGCCACTCATCATTTTATAAATAAAAATCCTTCTTCCCACTTTTCTAATACAACTTCTAACCATGCTCAAAATTTAAGTTTGTCACATTTATCTATGGATGAATTACAAGTTATAACCGATTACATAATTCAAAATATCCAGCACAGTCAATAATATTATAGTGTGTAAAATAAGAAGACACATTGTCTTAAAATGATAGAAATTAATATTATGATTACCAATATATTTTCTTTGGAAAATTTATTTATACATTAATTAAGAGGTTTTTTTATTTACGTAAAGTTTAAGTTATTATAATTTAAAATATCTTGTCGTTAGTTTAGTTTATCGTCGTTGCCAAATTCTAAATGTATTATGAATAAAAAATTAAGGATTAATATAGAAAGTTTTTCCATGTAAAATAAATAAAATAAGCTTTTTCAGTTGAAAGTTTTGGTTATAAAATAATTTTTTTTGTTCACTTTCTTTAATATACGAAATTACTATTTTCTTTACTTAAAATTACACAACATAAAATTATCGTAAGGTGATGACTTGACAATTACGTTATTCGTCGATCATTTATAAAAAGAATCCGCGTGATATGATATGGGATGATTAT